TGATGAGGATTCCGATGACGAAGAAGAGTTTGAAATAATCACACGCAAATTCAGAAAATTCTTGAAGAAAGGTAAGTTCTCTTCTAGTAAATTCAAAGATACTAACAAAGTCACTTGTTTTGGTTGTAATAAGCCAGGACACTACAAGAAAGATTGTCCCCTACAACAAAAGTTAAAGTCGAAGTCTTCTAACAATTTCAACGGGTTCACAAAGAACAAGAATGAACAAGTGAAGAACAAAAAGAAGAAGGCTTTGTCGATAACATGGGATGATAGTGACCAGTCATCTTCAGATGAAGAAGAGGAAAAAGAAGATCATCAAGCGAATATGTGCTTTATGGCAAATGAATCTGATGATGATCAAGTAAGTAATCATGATGAGTTACTTGACGCATTTAACGAATTATTTTTGAAATACAAGCAACTAAATTCTTCTTTTAAAATATTAAAAAATGAAAATGAAAATTTGAATAACACTTTAGTCTCTCCTTATGCTTCACAAATAGAAGATATTAAAGAGAAGAATAAAGAGTTATTTTCTGAAAATTATAAGTTATCTAGTCACAATCAACTTCTTAAAAAAGAGTGTGATTTCTTTAAAGTTCGTATTTCAAATTTGGATGATAATGTTAAAAGTCTTAAAAAACAAATATGAAACTATATTAATGAATGTAGGTAAATTTAACAAAGGAAAAGAGAATCTAGATAATCTACTTTCTTATCAATTATCTGCTACGAGTAAACAAGGATTAGGATATGTTTCTAACTCTAGTAATGAGAAAACATACTCTTCTATGCAAAAGAAAAATTATGCTTATTTATATTCTAAATTTGTGAAAAGTAATTATCATGCACATAGTGATACATCTATGCATGCTAGTTCTAAGGTATTTTCACATAATGATAGAAAAATGCATATGAAGAAAGTTGCATGTAAGAATATTTTAAAATCCAACTACATTTGGGTTCCTAAAAATGTATGTTTAAGTGATAGAAAGATATACTTATCAAATTACAAAAAGGATATTTGTGATTCTAAAAACTATCTTTCATACAATGTAGGTAAACCAAATTCTTATTGGGTTTGGTTTCCTAAATGCTAATCTCATGGACCCAAAAGTTAAAGGGTACCAAAACATATTTCTTTTATTTTGCAGGTACCTAATAAAAGGGAAACATGGATTTTAGATAGTGGCTGTTCCAAGCACATGACTGGGAACAAGGACTTATTTTCTTCCATACAATTTAAAGATGGAGGAACTGTTACCTTCGGTGACAACAACAAGGGTCAAGTGGTAGGAATTGGAACGGTTGGTATAAACTTTAAAACTCTTATTAATAGTGTGTTATTAGTTGATGGTTTAAAGTATAATTTGCTTAATATAAGTCAATTATGCGATAAAAACTATAAAATAGTGTTTGAAAATGACATGACAATTTTATTGTTCAACGGTTTTAGAAAGAAAAATATTTATATAAACAAAATACTAGGGTTGAACCAGAAGTTTTATATTAATTGTTTCATTATTTATTATCTCCCTTTCTATTCTCCTTTTTGTTAATGACAAAGGGGGAGATATATTAGAATATTGAAATATTGACAACTATTGCAATATTGAAATATTGTTATACAATATTAGGATTACTAATAAGTGCTATTTTTTGTGTGTTAAATTAACATGTATGCATTGTTGCAGGGGGAGTAAGTATGTTTAATTAAAGTTTTTCAATATTATTTGTCATCATCAAAAAGGGGGAGATTGTTGGGAACATGGTTGATGTTACAATATCTCTTGTATTTTGATGATAACAAATCATTGTTTATCTAACATATTTTACTGCAGATTCAAGATATACATCTCAAAGCAACAATCAAGATATTAAGGCTATATCAAAGACAAGATTTCAAAGATCAAAAAGATGAAGTTAATCAAGTCACTTCGCGCTTCAAGAAGAAAATATACTTTACAAGAGTGATGTAATTTTGTCTTTTCTTTTAGAATCTTTGTACAAGCCTTGATCACACACACAACACACACTATTTACTTAGAAAATCATAAAAAATATTCTAAGTATAATCCTAATTTTAATCAACATATGAATAAGTTATTAAACTATTGAAAATATCAAAAATATGGTTTCTGGCCGACCAAAGATAGGTCTGGTCGACTAGATTGATGAGCCAGAAACAGAGATTCAGAAAAATCTCTGTCTGGTCGACCAGATATGGACCTGGTCGACCAGAGGCTCCAGATTCAACCAGGAAATTTTCCAGAAACCCTTTCTGGTTGACCAGGTCTCAATCTGGCCGACCAGACAGTGCTTCCAACAGCCATATTTTTCAAATAAATATGAACGTTTTGTGAACGTTTTTGGCAGTTATTTTTGAATATTTTTGAACTAAAATTATACCTATAAATAGGTGTTAAGTTCTAAAATTTTATATCAGAATTCCTTTCTATAAACTTGAGTTTTTCTTGACTTCTTAAGATCATTTTTGAAGAGAAAAACTGAGTGAAATTTTCAGTTTTGTTCTTGATAAAAGTTCCATTACTCTAGAACAAAAACCATCCCTATAGCCTATTGTAAGTCACTCACATCTACACATCAAGGCTTATAGGAAGAGAAAGTTGTATCATTTTGTTTCAGTTTGATAATCTCTTGAAAGAAGAGATTGTTGTGGCATTGGCAATTGAAGATTGTCAAGGTTGTACGGTTTGCTTGCGGGTTGCAAGTGCTTGCGGTTTTGCAAGTGGAAATAGTGGAGAAATCTCAAGTGAGGCTTGGGGACTGGATGTAGGTCTGGAGGACCGAACCAGTATAAATCCTTGTGTTTGCGTATGCAATTTTCTGTGATTGTCTACACAATTGGTTTGATCTTTCTTACTCTTTGTGATATTATTTTATTGAAATTTAAAGTTTCCGCATTAGATTTCATAAACACTATTCAACCACCCCTTCTAGTGTTTGAGTGCCATTGCAGCGATCCCACAGATCTCTACTCTGAGAATCTTGAAAGGTGGAACTAAGAGTGGGATCTTCACTCTAGAAACCAAAGAGATTCAGATAACCCTAAATGTCGGAAGGTTTGATTACCCAATCTCAAGGTGGATTTCTCGTTTATTGAGATAAAATTCTAACTTTGGTCCTAACTATTAGAAGGTTTGACCAAAGGAAAGTTTTGAGATAACCCTAACTGTCTGAATGTTTGATCACTCAATCTAGATGGAGACCTCTCGTTTATCAAAAGAAAACTCCGGTTTTGATCCTAACTATAGGAAGGTTTGACTAAATGAAAGTTTGAGATGACCCTAACTATAGGAAAGTTTGATCGCTTGATTTGAAAGTGGATCTATTGTTCATAGAAGGAATTGAGAGGGGATTTTAGTTTTGATCCTAACTGTAGGAATGTTTAACCAAATGAAAGTTTGAGACGACCCTAACTGTCGGAAGGTTTGATCGCTCAATTTGAAAATGGACCTCTCATTCGTGGAAGGAATCGAGAGGGGATTTTGGTTTTGGTCCTAACTGTAGGAAGGTTTGAAATTTGAGACGACCCTAACTATAGGAAGATTTGATCGTTTGATTTGAAAGTAAACCTCTCATTCACGGAAGGGATCGAGAGGGGATTTAGCTTTGGTCCTAACTATAGGAAGGTTTGACCAAAAAATAGGAGGAGTGGAGGTACAAATAACAATGGGGGTGTTAATTTGTATAAATCACTTTGTCAACATAGTGGGAGTTTCCGATGTCAAGTCGCAATGACTTAACATGAAAGGGGTTTGATAATCGCCATGAATTAGCAAGTTAAAATTTCAAGTACCATGTCAGGGTCTTAACAGCGGGAATGTTAAGTGCTTAGACACATTAGGAGGTCAAATGGATTTAACCATGAAGAATTTTGGTGGATGCACCATCAACTGATTTGATCAGAGAGGGATTTTATGATGGAAGATTGTAAATTATCGAACACTAGTGGGAATTTTGTAAGGGAAGATTGATCAAACGAAGTGATTAAATCTTATCTTGATAAAAGAGTGCTCTAAGAGTCATGGTGCGGGTTGATGAAATTAATCTTAGCGATTGAAACTAACCAAGGATTGTGAATGAAGGAAAGAATGTATTTTGTTATCTTTTGCTTCACAAAAGAATCCTGGTTACCAGAAAGATGCCGATGACCAAGGAGAATTTTGGCAACTTGTTCCTAAGTAGATTGAGGCAGATGGGAAGTGTTTCATCGTTGAAGGAATTTAAAGTCATAGCGGGAGGGTTTTAATCATCTTGATAATGATTAAATCCCAATAGCGGGGGAATCTTAATTATCGTTATTTTTTGTAATGATTAAGAATGGATTATTCAGATGGTTAGTTTTCATCTTGAATAATCTTGTGATCTCGGGTTATCCTTAAGAATATCATGCGTAGTATTCTGCAGGAACTTCCCATTAGGGGTAAAATCGTACAATAACTTAAGTTGGACATGTCAAATAGGTTATAATAAATGTTCTAGGGACAGTACTTCTTTAGGAACTTTCTATTTATTGGCATCATGATTTTATCTCCGTCTTAGGTGACTAACTGATATGCACCGTTCGAGTAGACTGTCTCTACTATGAACGATCATTCCCATTTGGGTTGGAAGTTTCTTTTCTTCTTGGAATTGAGTACCATTAGTCGCTGAATGACAAGAACTAAGTCTCCTTCCTTAAAGGCTCGTAGTCAGACTTTCTTGTCGAAGGCCCTGAAGATTCTGGCTTGGTACAACTTAATTTGTTGCTGAGCTTCCATGCATTTCTCATCTAACATCTCTAGTTCTTCGAGACGTTTCTGATGTTGTTCCTCTATTATCATCTCTGTTGCGAGAGCAATACGGAGGGATGGAATTTGGATTTCAAAGGGAAGGATGACTTCACATCCGTACACCAAGGAATATAGAGTTGCTCCACTAGGCGTGCAGACTGTGGTGCGATAGGCCTAAAGAGCTTCACTGAGTTTGTCATCCTAATCTCGCTTGTTTGTTCTTACGAGCTTCAAGAGGATCTTGATGATAGTCTTGTTGAAGGCCTCGGTTAGACCATTTATGGTGAGATTGTAGGTTATCGATGAGACGTCTTGAATTTTGAACTTTTCATAGAATTTAATAAAGGTGTTGCTGACAAACTGAGGTTCGTTATCATGCACGATTCGCCTTAGAACACCGTATCGGTATATAATATGATGTTTGATAAATTTGACAACATCACTCATCTTTACTTCTTTGAGTTGAATTGCTTTAGCCCACTTGGAGAAATAATCAGTGATTGCTAGAATAAAGCGATCAGCTTTAGCTAATGGAGGGAAAATGAGACCCACGACGTCCATTCCCCATGTCTCAAATGGCCATGATGTGGCCGAAGGGTGCAAATGCTCTGGGGGTTGATGCATATAATTAGCATGTACTTGATATGCATGACACTGTCGGGCATACGCGACTGCATCTTTGACCATAGTTGAGTAATAATATCCTATTTTTCTAAGACGATCATATAATTTAGGACTAGGTTGGTGTGCACCACAGGTTCCATCATGTGCTTCTTTGAGAGCCTCTTCTGCTTCTTTGGTCGAAAGACATCGGAGTAGCAAGCCATCACACACATGGCGATAGAGCATCAGAGTCGTTGTGTTGTAGAAGAATCTCGGCGCTCTTCACTGAACCGAGTCTCTTTCTTTTATGTCTTCTAGTAATATATCATGCAAGACATAATCAATGATGAGAAAACGCCAGTCTCGAGGTTTGAGTTTGATTCTAGCCGCATGTGCCTCTTTGATGTCCAAGGCACAGTCTGGTATGAAAAGTTGGTGAGTCCTCATGGTGACTAACTATTCCGTCTTAGGAGGTTGTGCCAAAGATACTGCTAGTACCGCCAGTGCATCTGCGTAAGTATTTTGAAGGCGTAAGATGTAGGAGTATGTCATCTCAATAGCTGCTTGGTGGTACGGGATTAGGTCTTGATTCCTAACCTCGTACTCTCCTCGAACTTGGTTGACTATCAGTTAAGAATCACCAAAATCTTCGAGATACTCGATCCCTAGCTCTTTGGCGAAACTGAGTCTAATGAACAATATGTTGTATTCAACCACGTTGTTGGACCCCGACCCGATCAAGGAATAGGCTCGTGGTATAACATGTTTCTCTGGGAAACTAGGACAACTCCGACTCCTACATAAATCTTGGAACATCCAGGAGTGCTTGCTACTTCGGTTGCTCGCGAAGTACCATCAAAGTACAATTGTCACACCTGCTGATGAGAGGTAGTGTTGACTTTGTAGGTTTCATCCAGAAAATCTTCGTATAATTTAGCTGTATCTTTCATAGGATTAACTGCCAGAAGATCACAAATTGTTTGTCATTTGACCAACTTTTGTTGTTTGAAGTGAAGGTCGTACTGGGACAAGAGTAAGGCCCATCTCGCTAACCATCAATTCATGGAAGCTGGCTGTGTTATGAACACTCGAATTGAGTTAACATTTGAAATGATGTTTATCGTCTGTCCAACCAGGTAGTGCCGCATTTTTTGAATTGTGAATATCA